ATTTACAGCTGATTAATTACTGTGCAGTAATGCACATATAGATGCCTTACTGTGCAGTAACACTGTGTGTGTGGATTGACTTGGGATTAACTTTAGTCTCAAATCAGTCCACATGCAGCATTAATGCACTTTAATGCCTGTAAGTGTAAATGCTGGCCTATTCCCCCTTACTGTGTAGTAAATTTAAGCCAGCATAAATGCATGTGTAGACACAACCAGTATTTTCTACAACAAAGAAGAGTAGTAGATATTGTTCTATTCAAGAGTCTTTATAAATTGGTATAAAAAGAGCAGACATTTTCAGTGAAGGATTCTCAGGGAGTTCATGAGCAAACTAACAGGTTGCACCATCTTGCCCTTATATACTACTGAATGGGTGCATTTATATGAGATGTTTATGCAGAGTTGAAAAATTAGCTCCTCAGTAAAATGTCACTGTCTACACACGCAGTGCTATTAGGATAGAGTAAACTAATTAACTCCACCATAGGATAGTACTGCCAGACACAAGTACTATCCTATGGTGGTGTTATTTACTCCACCACAATGCATGTGTAGACACTGGCAATGCTGGCTGAAGCATGAGGGTACCTCAGTGCAGGGTCTGCCTGCTGGCTAGCCCCACCCTGAAGCACCCTCGTGCCCCATTACAGCATATTGAGCCAGGTCAGAGCAGCCCCTGGCTGGCAGTTTGACTCCCCGGCCCCCACTGGGCCCTGTGCTAGCCAGGGCTGCTCCCGTCCAGCTCAGTGTGCTGCAATCCCAGCCGCGTGCGCCAATACAGTGCCCAGGAATAAGTTTATTCAGTTACATTAATTGCACATGTAGATGCACCTAATGAGAACTAGATCCCACCTGAGGCTTTATGAAAAAAGTTGAGAGCTACTTTGCAAGACATAGTGGCTGCATCTACACAAAGCTTTGTGTGGTCAGGCCCCATTGTCTACAGCTCGACCAGAGCCACGTACCCTGTCAGAAAGTACACTACTTTCTTCGGATATTGTCTTGCCATGACTTGATGGTATTAATGTAGAATTCTCTCCTGGAGAAAGAAGCCAGCTCTGCCATCAAGGCTGTCTTTAGTAGTCCAAAAATAATTAGTTATAGCCTGGAGTGGGGTCTCACAAGCTTATAACAGGGGCTCCTCCAACCCCTGTACTCCCACCACAGTCCTCTCATATGATTAAGGCCTCCTACTGTTAAGGCATTACAGATAGGAACCAAACTCATTACCTTCCTGGTAGACATGGACTCTGAAGTCCATTAGTCACAAAAATAAAGAAAAATGGGCAGGTGTGTCCTTCACCCCTTGTCTCCACTACTCTCTAGCATACAGTCTCCCTTTTCACCACTTCCTGTGTTCTTTTACGTTCTCCTCCATATATTCCCAGCCTATCCGCATCAGCTTCTGTTCTCCAGGTGCAGCTCATCTGTCTTGCATTAAGGCAAAGCACCCAGGATGAGCTTCAATTAGGTGTTTCTTTCCCTGATGGCATAAACTGCCCAGCATGTCCTAGTCTAGCTTTAGTGGTCCTAAATAAGGCTTCCTTCTCCCCTGTGCCTCCCCTTCCCCTGGGACTCTGTTTCCCAGGGGACCCTTTAAAAGGGCTGGATCACAACTGTGCTCACTACTGTACTGCCCTTAGTGTCCCTGTAGCCCATCCTTTCCCTTCTGGGCCTGCTTGCACCTCAGCCTGGCGGAACTCCAAAGGTAAAGGTTTCAACCCCCGTATGCTGCCAGACCCACCTTGGGGCTTCCTGGGAGGGTTGTATTGGGACTAAATCTCCAGCTGCCTTGCTTCAGCTGCCCCTGCAGTTTGTCCCAGTGAGGCAGCTTGCCTTGCAGATGCTGGAGGCAGGGGAGCGAGTGGGAACTTTGTCCCTCTGACTCCTCCTGCTTCTCTACACTTTGACTGTGTAGTAGCTTATTACTACCGCACAGTAGCACTGTGTGACAAAAAGTGTGATATGACGCTACTGTGAAGTATTAATGAGCTACTGCTTAGTCAGCATCACCTAAAAGCCAGTCAGAGACACTACTGTGGAGTAACTCCAGCTACTAAGGTACTAAAAGATTATGCACTAAACACTGCACAGTCAGGGTCTTGTGTAAATGCAGCCAGTATGTTCTTCTTGTTGTGAATTGCTTGTAAAACATATTGTTTTAAGTCTTTTTAATGCACTTCTTTAATGCACTACAAGAGATCAGGTCTGGAAACAAACTGATACACACAGGCAACAGCATTTATTTTAAAAAAACTTTCCAATCTCAGTGTAGCTGCCTGAAGAGAAGAATACTGACAAAGTTTGATTTACTGACTGTTAAATACTTTCATTTTATTTGACTTCCAGAGATAGACTCATGCATGAAAACTATTTAGTTACAAAATCTTCTGGGATTCCTGCTGGTAGAATACAATAATTAACTTGATGCATCAAGCCATAATTTAGACTTGAAGAGTTATTGCTGAATGAAGTGGATTGTTTAGTTAAAGATTGTTTGGCATGAAAAGATATTGACTTATATCTGCCTGATTTTTGAGACTTCAGAACAACAAGATGTAAATCCTGCAAAGCTGCTTTTAAAACACATTTATGAGCAAAGCCTAATGTTTATTCACTTAAATAGAACTATTATTTAAACATTTTCACACAGTTAAGGAAGGTAAATGGTAATTGCTGCAATATAATTCCTCAAAAATAATAATTCATGTGCCCAATTAAATGTATCTCTGGTGTTTCTAAAAATCTGTAAAATATTAAGTAAGCAACTTTAACCTTCAAACACTCAATAGGCTCCCAAGCTTAATTTTCACTCTATGCTAAGTTCTTGATGAATTGCCAACATTTTCAAAATGAAAGCTATATAACTAAAGGGGGAAGATGTTGAAAATGTAACTGTCTTTCTGTGGGTTGAGAGAGGCAAGGAGAACAGCAGAAAACTGTCCAGTTATGTGAGCACATACTTAAATTGCTTTGACTTCAGTAAAATCTGGGAACATGCTTAAAGTTAGTCTAGAGTAGACTCTAAATGACTACAGCCTCAATTTTAAAAGGGATTTAGATAATCTTTTCACCTCTCCTCTTGATACCAACTTCCTAGTCAGAATTTATGTTTTTTCTTTTAATGTATGATTTTTCACTTTCCTAACTAAGTCCCCCCCCCCCCCCCCCCCCCCCC